TCTCCCCAAAACCCCAAAACCCCAAAACCCCTTGATTTCTTGCTAAAATTGAAAAATATAAAGAAAATGGAAAAATTCCAGACTTCCTTCAGTGATGAAATCAAGAAGGAATTTCTGAAGATTTCAGAATCCTTCAGTATCATGAAGGCAGAGGGTAAAATTACGAAGTAATTTTAGACTATTTCTACAGAAACTTCTCTGGAATCTTCACTAAGCGGTAAGCTTGCCTGTTTCAATTGTAGACCTGTGGACTCCAAGGCCTGGTTTGCAGAAATCGTACGGCATTATGAAGAAGTTAAGGCGCTTGCCTTGGGCACCGGGCCGGTGCCCAAGAGCATCTTAACTCCTAAATACGACTTCAGCAAAGTCCTGGCAGGCTATCGAAGAAGCCTAGGCCGGTCGGCAACTGGCGAGAAGCGAGGTGGCTCAGCAGATCGAGAGATTTTGAAGAATTTTAAAAGAATTTTTGAGTGTGAAGGAAGTAAGTTTTTTCTTTTAAGCATTTTTGTATAGCACTTGGTAATACAAATTTTCAGGCTGAAGAGCGGGCCTTCAACAACCATCTTCATAGACTGAGAAGGGCTCATCAGATTGAGATCAGAAACATCAGGATGAAGTTCATCTGTGTTATCGACGAGATGGTTAATAAAAAGTTTGAAGCAATCCAAAAAGCAATAGATACTGAGTTCTCAAGATTTCAGTTAGAAAATCATGCGAATAAAAATAAAATCAAACTTTTAAGCAACGAATGACAACAGTTACGGAAGATCATTTCGGATTACGAGATCATCGTTACAAGTGAAACTATTCAGGACCAGAACCTACAGAAGCCTGGTTCGGAAGCTGGAAAATGCTTGCAAGTTTTGAAACCTTCTAGCCACAGTAGAAAGCGGAGTTCTAAATTATTTTAAAGATCCTAATAAACTTGCTCAGAATGAAAATAGAGGCCACTTTAGATCAAATTCCAAAGAAATCCAGATTCTGAAGGACTTTAACATTGATGAGTTCAACAAAGGACTTTCTATATTTATGGATGTAATGGAGACTAAGCTCAAGAAGCTTGACACAAAGCCTCTAACCCTCAACCAGCAATGACAAGCGATAGATTACAAGGCAAGACAGGCTGAGGAGGAATTTAAAGACATAACTCAGAATCTGGAACATAAGGTAAAGTAAAATTTATTCCCTAACTTTGAAGTTCACACATGCTTAAGACCATTAAGGCCTCTTTTTCTCTCTTATGGCCCTCACAACACGTACAGTCCCTCTCAGGACCCTAAGTCTACCTCCAGGGGCCCCTACGCCCTCTCCATCTCCACCCTCCAGTCTAACTTTCCCTAGATAGCCCTCCTAAAAGAGGACCTTAAGCAACAGACTTGTACTTTCGCCAAGAAGCATCAGCTTCTGGCTCAGCTGCATCACTCAAAGGAGAGAAAGTACTTGGCAGAAGTATCTGGCTTAGAGGAAAAGTGAGGGAAGTTGTTTAAGGAGTTGGTACAGGTTAAGAGGGTCTTAAGGTCTCCGTACCTGTATTCAAAATACAGAAAAGCGAAATTCGAGGATTTCCCTGACCTAGACCTTCCTAAATCCAAACTTCAAAAATCCAAAAAATCCCCTAGAAAACCCAATCTGTCCTTAACCATGGAGAAAGTAGACAGCCTTGAGGAGGAATCCCAACTGGGTAATCTCTCTTGTCGTACAGCTGATAGGCTAAGCCATCTTAAGAAGCCTAATTTTCAGAGATGACTCCCTTCCTTGCGTAGAAATCAGAAGTTATAACTGCTAAGTTGAAGTATGTTGACCTTAAGATTACTGATATTAACATCAAGAGGAGCAGACTCAAGAAACTTAGTAAAGAGGATATTTTGAAGAAAATCAGAGTTAATAAGGAGAAGTTACATAAGAGGCTTACTAAAAGCCATAGTAATAACAGTAAGAATCTTGGTGCCAACCAGAAATCGAAGAGTGGACTCAAGGCTGTGGGGAAGACAAATACTTCAGGCAAAGGTGTCACTATACCTGGAAGTACACATACAGAAAGGAACATTAGTGACGGTAGGAAGAGAACAGTTGTTTATAAGCGTCATCATCCTACTGAAAGAGGCCAAGGTATGTCTTTTATCTAGATTTTAGATAAGTTGTCACTTATTAACGATTCCTTGCTCAACTCAGAGCAAGAAATAGCTCAAACTAGCCTTGCCATTCTGAAGAGAGGGTAAGTTTCTTTATAAAATACTAGAAATAAAAATAGGAAGATGAGTAGCTTTGTGTCAAAGAAATCCACTAAAATTCTCAGATCTAAGAGATACAGGGATAATAACCAAGTCTATGGGATCCCTAGAAATGACCAAAAGAAGCTGCTTAATGAGAAATTGACAAAGTCTTTAAAGTCTTTTCAAATTGGGGGGCCTAGTTTCTTTACCTCTAACAATGTGAAGAAAAAGGCTGGGTTGAAGCTCTTATGAGCTGGGAAGCTAAGGAGCTTCTCTGAGAGATCTTACTCTCATGATCAAAGCTCAGTGGATGCTCAGAATCTGTACAACAATCATGATGTGTATAAGTAGATTCTTCAACCAATTTCGATGAAAATGGGGTTTTGGGGTTTTGGGGTTTTGGGGTTTTGGGG